ATGATGCAAATAACCACGCAGAATTATAACTAAGATTAGCTGGGGAAAACAGATATTATTTTGAATAGGTTACCATATTTAAATTGAAGATTTTATGATAGATGACAAAAGTTACTATTTACAAAGTACTGATAAACTAGTAGTCTTGTATGCTTGTGGATTGTGGGCTACAACAAAGTCTGATGAACTTAAAATGACGAACATTGAATGGAAGATATTAAAAATATCCTCTGAGTGTGTACCCGCCAAGTTTACGGTTATGTCCTGCCTTTTTGGTAACGCATAAGCAGTTGACATAATATTTAATATATATTAACGAGGTTAACTATCTCTACGCTAGCCAAGGCTTTACGCTGAGAAACGCTGAGCCTCCACAGTCTTGTTGATTATATTTTAAATATAGATAGACATATTCTTATGATTTTATTTTGACAAGTTTAGAGTGAGTTTTAAGGACATCGATATCGACTACAGGGAATTTATCGAAAATATTGTAACGTGACAAAAATTATCTATTCATTTTTTTGTCTATTTGTATATATATATATACAAAGAATGAGTACTGATAAACGCCGTTTATCAGTTAAATAATCATGAAAGGTGTTGTGATTTGTTTGTGCGCGTGCGAGATAGTCAGCTGTGTACTACTTCAGACCGGTTCATGGACGACATTTTTGTGTACATTCACCCCGCTCCTTTCCTATCTTGAACGTCATTTGTACTGCTCACCGCATACACATTCGCCTTATGATTTAAATTGTTCTTAGTAATTTCCGGCACTGGTCAATTAGTTTGATCCCTACTCTAAAAGCTTGCCGTGTTGTCGCCAACGGACCGCCGGGTCAAACGCCGGACGTTTTTTCGGAAATTAGTCATCGTCAGAACTGGTACGCTAATTTTCGTCCGTAGCGATGTGTTTTTTTTTAGTTGTGTGCGTTACCACTTTTTTATATTTCTATTTTTTTTACAGTGAGTGGCTGCTAAATTAATAATTTAATTTTTTTTATTGGCGTCGGCTGAACCTGCCTTCGGTTTCTTTAGCCCTTCGGGGCTGGTAATGTATATTTTTGTTTTTAATGTTTTGAGCCAGAATTTGTTTTTTTTTATTATTATTAGCGCGCCGTGCCATAAGCACTTGTGGAGAGTTTTTATTATTTTATTAAATTTTTTTTTAGGTGCCTCTATTTTTTAGCTTCGATGCGAAGCTGAGAAGGTATTGGTTTTACTAAGATGTGTTTTTTTTTTTTTTTTTTC